CTGCTGCAGCTCAACTCTGCTATTTCACCAACATCAATGACGTGTTTTACACTGGAAAGAACAGCGATGGTCAGGGATTGACTGAACAGGAAAAAAAGATGCCAGTGACAGAACAGAGTCTTCAGAATATGCAAGGTCATCGAAGGCAGCAAGCGTAATGTGACAGCCAACAATTGGTTTACCTCATTGGTAGGAGTGGAGCAGCTTGGAAAGATGAAGCTCACTTATGTAGGAACAATCAGGAAAGACAAGCGGGCTGTTCCAAATGAGTTCCATGCAAACAATGATCGACCCGTTGTCTCAACATTGTATGGGTTTGGAGGTGAAATGGTACTTATGTCCCTTGTACCAAAGAAGAACATATCTTTTTGCCTTATTTCAACATTTTGTGACAAAATTGAAACAAATCAAGAAAAGAAGAAACCAGAGATGATTTGTTATTATAACAAAAACAAGGCAGGAGTTGACGGGCAATTCCACGGTGTCGGACGTAGATTTCAGACACATTTTTCTGCTATTTTAATGCTTTAAAATTACTTTTTGTAAAAAACCTTAATCTTTAGTATTTTTATTTGAAAGAACAGTTCTTTAAGAACATTTTCATATGTAACATTTTTTAAATTTTAAAATCTTTAATGGCTAAAAAAAATTTTTTCTGCGGTGTCGGACGTAGAGTGCACAAAATCGATATTTCTTTTTTCCTTATTTGACTTTAAAAATCTGTGAATTTTAAAGAGATAAAACAACAGAAAAAATCATGGATGTAAAGAAACTTATTAGCTTTAAAAAGAGCCTAGGTTCAAGTTTTTTGGTTCAATAGTTTTGACACAAAAAAAAATCTCCTACGGTGTCGGACGTAGAATTTTTGGTGTCGGACGTAGGTTGTGTGATTTTTTTTAGATTTACAAATAATAGGTAGTAATTAAATGTAAAAAAACGTTCACAATTTTATATGAACCCTTTTAAACATTTATTCATGCATTTAAATGAGCCTGAGCAAATAAAATTACTAAAATCCTCTATACCTGGGTTTAAAATATTTAAATTTCGAACATTTACGTTGCACAATATGGTTTGACATTTTACCTTCAGGGAAAAAGTAAAAGACTGATAAACACTTTACATCTTTTATTAGATATTTTGCTTATTTAACTTAAAAAAGTTACAGCTTCTTAATTCCTACAAATTACCCATTCTCTACAAATTAGTCTCTTTAAAAAAAAGAATGAAATGAAAAATTCATGGGCACTTTGGGTTATATGCAAAAGTAAGACATGAGAAAATGTGTTCAAGGGAGCACATCTGGAAGTGGACCGATGATACTTTTAAATTTATAGTGGTCTCTTGTTCCTCCGTAAGGTTCAGGAGGCTCAATTTTCTTCACAATGTCTTTGGCTTTGTACATAATACAGTCTTCATCAGTTGGCCAGAAATAGTATGCACCTGACTTGGAGCAATGCATTACTTTCACTTTGGCTTCATTTTGTTCAACACACTGTACTTCACCTGGATAGTAATCATTATCGTATTTAACCACAACCCAGTCTTTTTGAGGCATTAAATCCTGAAGGTTTAGGTCATTTCTCTCTATTTCGAAACGCTCGCCATACTCCTGTTCTGAGTCATCACTGTCCGAAGACTCCGGATTTTGAACAATTTTTACTTTTCTTTTTACTACATCGTCGCTTGTGTCGCCTACAATTAAGAAATCTTTTGATCCAGCTGCCGTCACATAATGCACTTTGTGAGTGTTAGGTACTGGTGCGGAACACTCCCATATTTGCAGACCCTCAATCACTGCTTCTTGAATATCCTTACTTGAAATGAACTTAACTAACATAACCTCAACTTTACACACCAGTGTGCTGTGAACTTTCCCTCCAATTTAAAGATGTTTTTTTCTTGCTGTAAATGTAGTGTGCAGAGAAACAATGTTGCCAAATTGCGAACTTTCTGGCATGCTGTTATATTTTCATAGGTAATGTGTACACTTAAACGTTTATTGGTTTCCCATCATGTTAGCCTATATGGGTTTTGTTTAAATACTTTAAAACACAGTTTAGGAGATTTAATAACCAACAGTTGTAGCAAATGTTATATATTTTTTTTTACTTTTGAAGCTTACAAAAACTTATAAATTTGGGTGATATGTTTTTATTTATGTTTAACAATGGGGGTGTGGGATAAATTTTACATCTAACTAAACTGAAAGGTTCCTTAGTGCAGGTTAATTGAGTACTATGATAAAAACTCAACTTAGGGTTTTATAGTATATGCAGCATGTTACGGTATTTAACATACACTACCCAATTTTAGTACTTTGGTGTCGGACGTAGGAAATATTTTCTACGTCCGACACCATGATTAAAAAAAAACCATACATGATAGATTTTTTTCCAAACATGGATCATTTAGACCTATGTAAACTTGCTTTGCATACTAGTTTTCAAGCTTTAAAAAAAATCCCTCTAGCCACAGTAAAACTAAACATACATTTTTGGTGTCGGACGTAGAATTTAATCTTTCTTAATGTTAAACATCTGTAGGGTGGACAGAAAACCTTTTTCTTAATTCTAAATTGCATTAATATTTAGCTTTACTCTTAAACTATCAAAAAAATAATTCATAAGGCTTATTTGAGTAAATTTTGTTTGTTGGTTATGAAAATAACCAACATGGTTGTAAATCGGAGTGAAAAAAAAAACGGTAGTCTATAAAAAAACATGTATATATTTTTTATTTATTTTTTTTTTGTAACCAATGTTTCAATATGAGTGGAAAGCTACACTAACGAGCTTTCCAAAAATGTATAACAGTAATGGGTTTGATAAAGTTGACAAAAAAGTATAGAGGTTGACCATTTTATGGAATTGCCCTGAACATCTTAGATATGAAGTGTGCTGTATTTTCGTCCAGCCAAAAAACTAGGCGGTGGACGCTAGCGATGTTCTATCGGCTGATAAATATTGCAAGCTGCAATAGCTTCATCGTCTACATGACCTATTCAGGACCAAAAATGATGACCCGCTTTGAATACATAAAGATGTTGGCCCACGACTTGATTGTTTAACCACCTGTGCTAGAGATCCACTTTTTAGAGTAAAATCAAGAAGAAAGGATAACATGGCTGACAGTAGAGTTATCCCTGTCCGGGGATATTACTAATATTCCTCTCCTATCAACGAATTTCATTCTTGTCCTTAAATTAAGGGCAAGATGATAACTTGATTGTATCAAAAGTATTACAATAAAAATCAGAAACAATTTGCACCCTAACACAGTCAGCTACGCAATTCATCAGTACTAGGGATCCATTTTCTAGAGTAAAATCAAGAAGGAAGGATGACATGGAGATTACTGTAAACATCGACTGGCTGACATAATAGAGTAACCCCTGTCAGGGGATATTACTCCGATTCTTCTCTTAATAACTGTGTTATCAAGGAATTTCAGTCTTGTTCTTAAATGAAGGTTAAGATTATAACTTTGATTGTATCAAAAGTGTTACAATAAATATCAGAAACAACTTGCACCCTAACAGTCAGCTACTCAATTCACCACCTGTGCTAGAGATCCATTTTCCAGAAAAAAATCAAGAAGAAAGGAGGACTTGGAGATGACTGTTAAAATCAAATGGCTGACATAGTAGAATATTCCCTGTCTGGGCATATTACTACCATTCTTTAACTATGCTATCAAAGAATTTCAGTCTATGTTCTTAAATTAAGGGCAAGATGATAACTTGATTGTATCAAAAGTGTTGACTGGCTGACATAGTTTTCTTTCAAAAGCTGTTATCGGCAGAACATGAGGAAGCAGGATATATATTAGACTCAATCAATAAAAGAGTAATAAGTTTATGGAAAAAAAATTTATTGTGATATTTGAGATTCAGTGAACGGGAATGAAACATTCAATGGCACAGAGATTCACAATGCAGCCAACTTCATAATTTGTCTACATGCAGCTCATATAGTGGAAATGAACTGTGTCTCTTAAATCTCAGTTGAAATAAATTATATATATTATATCCAAATTAGCTGAACATCTTTTTTAATACTTCCTTGTTGAGGGTTTAGAAAAAGTTCAAAGCTTTAGATCCAACGAAGGATACATTTTCAGGCACCACCATGTATGCCTACATGCATTTCGTGAAATAGCGGCTTATTTGATTGTTAAATAAGATTACATTTTTTCATTAATTGTGTTGTTCAGGCTTTCTTACACAGGTGTGAACTCAGAACTGGCAGACAATTACAACACTGTCCCCTCATCATCGCTCACACCAAAGTATGTGAAAGCCATATCATGTGAATTCATGTATTGTACAGCTTGATTAGGTACTGTTTAAGTAGGATCTTCCTTAACTATAATAGCATATGGCGTAATTACTCATCCGTGAAGTATTATTAGTTGAATTATAAAAATACACAATTGAAATATGATCAAACTACGTTTACAATTTATATGACAAAAAAAGAATTATGTCAAACTAGATCTTGCAATGAGCCAGATCAAAAGGTCCCAGCAACCATGGTTATTAGTTATTAGTTTTTTCCATCATACTAAATGATTGTAGACCCACCAGAATTATGGAATTTCAGGGATGGATATGGAAGTTATAAATTAACAATCTGTTGTACTCTCAAGATAAATTGTGTCTACCTCTTCAACCCGTCTCCAAGCATTTAAGTTAATGCCTAGAGGCTGTCAGACAAGTATATAGGATCCTCAAAGGCCTCTAAGAGTACGATTAGAAAAGATATCTTAATTCAGATACTGTTAGGAAGTTCAATGTAAAAAAATCTGAATGCTATCAAGGGTCATCAAGCATTGGGCAACTATTTATGTTGGTCCAAACAATTTTCTGGGGACATTGGTATTGTATTTATATTAAGAATACTAGATAAATAACCTATTTACAGTTAGAGGAGTGGAATTAAAACATCATGACAATAACAATTTAACAAAAATATTTGTATTTACATTTTGTACATAGTAAAATTTGTTATCAACAAATAAGTAGGCCTAACATTTGTAATTTGCTCCTTTTCCAATATGGCCAGTCCAAATTTTTTGGATGAGTATATAAACTTTATTAAGGCACTCTCATGATATGAGAGGATATTATCATCATTCCAAAATATCACTAAAGGTATGATGATTTCAAAGTCCATCCAATCAGAACTTATGCAAGATCTGAAAAAAATTGAGATCGATCTATCACATTAGACGAAGGCAAATTCAATGGCTTCTTGCTATCAGCAACTGATGCAAGGAGATCTGAGTCTTCAAAATAGCCAACAGGCCAGAACCGTAGCTTGTTGTCCAGAGAGCAAGACGCAACATACGCTCCATCATGGCTGATGTCCAGAGCCTCTACTGAGAGACTGTGTTGGCCCACCACACCTAACTGTTTGTGAGGGAACAGATAAGTGGCCCTGCAAACATCGAGACACTCTAATTAGTCACCTGACTACTTAACACGGTAAAGTCGATTGGAATGTTACTTGACAATATAGTAACATAAAGATAATTATTCTTTTCAATAGAGAATGGTAGCCTAAGTATAAAATTTTAATTACAAACCTTATAACATCATTTGCACTATTATTTTTGGTTTTGATATAAAAATATTAAAAATAAACACTACGGTACTTATAAATCAAGAGTTATATTAATCCAAAACATCTATTAAGAGAGGGAATTTTACTGTATTCAAATATAAAAGTATTGCCATGATCAATGTAGTAGATAAACATAGATAAAAGAAGGTGATCAAAATGTTGCGTTTATGACAGATGTTCACGGTTTTGAGATAAAGAAACAATATTATGGCAATTTACATACATACAAATGTATGGTTGTAATGAAATGTTACCACATTTAATGCTAATTGTAACAATTTTGGTAATTCAAACAAGGTCTGATTCCAGTGATTCCCAATCAGTTTGGATTTCGGGGACTCTAGAGTAGTTGTGACTAAAGTTCTTATGCAAGTTGATATATAAAACACTTTATGGTCACAGGCCACTTTGTCTATCATTGGGTGAAATGTTGTAGAGACGCCAAACAGTAGAAGAAATAGGAATCTTTGGACTTACTCATTCTGACTTTAAATAGTGCATTACCTGATGCAGCCATCCTCCCATCCTGTTAGAACAATGTTTTCACTGACAGGCACCATGCAACTGATGGACTTCTTGGATGTCCACGGTAAGTCATCAGTGTGAAGACCAAACTGTCCCCACTTGTAGAACACTAGCGAGCCCCTGGCCGAACCAACTACTAACTTGGTCTCCTTGCGGAACAATCCAGCACAGGTGAACTCTGCCTCATACAGCTCTGACTGAGAAACCGAAAAAAATACAAATGTTACAACATAAGGGCTTTAGTTAAGGTGAGGTGTTAAAGGACGTATCCATTATTATTAATCAAAGCTGGATGTTTGATGTATAATTTACCACAGTGGAAACTTTCCTATAGATAACCTGCCATTTAGAGAGCTGTAAGATACAGTGAAACTGGCCAATTTCAAGACTAAAGGTAAGTTGGTTGGGAAACACCTTTAAAGAAATCTATATGATGAAGAGTTCATGAAGGGCACAAGGTGACCACAAGGAATTTAAGTCTCTCCGTCTTGGAGGCAACGAATGAAAAGGGAAGCACAAGAAGTTGACAAGAGTTTAAGGGGACTTAAAAGCACAAAACTACATTTTAACTTAGTTGAAATTTAATTTATTATTATAAATATAAAAATACAATGCAGTATCATACTTTCTCAGATGAAAAATAAATAAACTCATCAATTTATGGATTACATTTTCACTTATAATTGGTCTGTGTATCCTATCCAGCGAGATGGGACAAGTGGGATCAATTTGCGAGTGGTAAACTACCTGAATATGAAGACATTTCCCAGCAATATCAAAAGACGTGACAGTCCCCTCTCCACTAGTGCACACCAAGTATCTGGCTTCCTCATTGGTGAGAATCTTGCTGATGTAATCCTCCATCTTTTTGGATGAAAATACATGTGTCCTTTGCCTCAAGTCCCACACTAAATGATACAACACAATGCACTCTTAGAAACACTTAAATTGAAATCCATACTGTAACTGAGGTGAACAGGGAAATCTATTGTTAGGGAGCTTTTGATAAAGTTTAAAATACTGGTGATGAAATTTTTAAACAGATAATTTTTTTTATTTTCAATATATAATGTAAAAAACAAGTGGTAGCTGAATAGGGTACAAAAAACAACCTTTGACTATTGATACAAATTCTGTACACAATAGTTAATGTTACAACATAACATATCTACACTGTATAGGACTAAACACTGTTTATTTTAACGGATTAGAATTGCATTTAAATAAGAATGTAACAGCTAGAAAAATGAATGTGTAATTAAATTACTAACACAGAGTTATTAAATTTTCATAACATAAAACTTACTTCGAACAACACCATTTTCATCACCAGTTGCAATTAAATTTTCATTGATGACAGCTAGAGTATATAACGGATCCCTGAAACAAAATTTGCAAGATTAATATTCTAATAAGGAATGCACAAACCCTCATAAAATTCTAGACAACATCCCATTTAATTCTGATGCTTTCAAAACAAGGCGTAGGGATTTGAATTCTACTAATTACCAGTAGCTAAACAATGTTATTCGTTAAATTCATTGCATCCAAATAGTCGTTCAATGCCACTGAATGGATGAATATTGTATTTATTTTTACAAAACAATATCATGAAGAATTTTATAAAACTAAATGAATAAAACTAAATTAATGAATATGCCTAGCCTATCTCTTTATTGGCAGATAATGATTAGACAACAGCATAACTCCTAAACAGGTGTTATTGTGAGATAAGACCACACAGTGCTTTATTTTCTCAGACTGAGTCTATAAAACTACCTTGTATAAAATTTCTCTCTTCTGTCACTGCTATTTCACTCTTTTGCCATCTCTAATAAGACAATTTTTGCACATTTTAAGTGTCGGTCACTACGTTTGCCCACAATTGTGTATAGTAGCAGGTAATGTTGTAAGAGACATTAGATTAAGAATTGGTGTTTTTAAGCAAATAAGACCGTTGTAACGAATCCACATACCGTAATGCATTCATCCCATAAAATACAAGATTAGTAATTTTTGACAATTCTTTGAAAAATCAGTAAACATATCTCCAAATAATGTTTACTATAAAGAATTGCCCCAGGACACTTCTGTATTTTTTCTCAAATCAAAACATTATATTATTAATTAACTATGAGTTCAGTCAGTGTATATTTTGAATTCTAGTGAGACCAGGTAGCCAAGAAGACAATTCCAAGCATAAAGTAGGAAACTTACTCATGAGCGTCATCATAAAACTGTCTCAGTTTTCCAGAAGCAACGTCTGTCACCATGATACTCTTATCTGCTGATGCTGTGAACAGAACATTTCCATCCTCCGAGAACTCCACAGATCGGATTGCTTTGTTGTGTACTTCATGGGTAGCCACCAATTCAGTCTTGTCTACACTGTACTTATAACTGAAACAGAAGATTTCTTTTTCACTTTAAGTTGTGTATGGTTGCACTAAAGGAGAATCATAGATGTTTAAATTAACAAAATTACACTGTGTAGCAATTAAGTTTGGGGCTATATTTTTTAAAGCATTTTTTTAAATGAAAAATAGGTAACAGCTGATCAATATAGATAAGATACAGTAAGTAGGAGTCTGCAGGATACAGTATTTTCGCCTTCAGTCTTTACAGTCAATGTACAAACTGGCTTGCTTACGAGTGTAAAATGAATTTTCGCTCAATATAATTGGCTAATTCATACCGCTGTGTGACAACTTACTAAAAACCCAATAATATTGTCCTATTTTTGAACTGTCAATGAGTGCTTCATATGTCTCTCAGGATCAAACTGGCAACCTGAACCTGTATATTACTAAGCAAAATCTTAGACCACTCGGTAATACAACTAACTGATTCAATTACTCGATGTAGAAATAATAATGAGGACAAAATATTAAGAAAACGTGTTTTGGAAAAACTCAAGCAGGGGGGGATAAGTAGATCTGAGGATAAAGATAATTATTCAGTTAGGTTGTGTAGCTGTTAAATAATCTAGTTTACTGACATGAGGGCATCACCAGTAACTGAGCCACCAGCGATTACATCAGAAGTAGGGCTAAAGCTGATGTCTGCCAGGTAGTCCTCCACTTCTACTTCTGGGGGTTTCTCACTGGGCTTCTCTCGAGCTCGCAAGATTGCTGTTATTACAGGGTCTTCTTCATCTTCATTTCCTTCAGCTTCTGTAAAAAATTCATTCAAAATATTGTTTACTTGTCTAGTGATCACAACTTTTAAATAATGTTTAAGAGTAACTTTAAAATGACAATGTTTACCATGTAGCATACCATGTAGCCTGTTAAAAAAACTACTGTATCGAAAGCAGATTTTTAAAATCGCCTGGATTTTGGATGTGAGATACCTTAATGCAAATTTTCATCAAAGTTCAAGGTCAGGTTGAATGCCTAGCCTAGTTGTATTTGAAATGGAACGACTCAAGTTAAATATTTTTTTGTAAGTTGGAGGGAGCACCATTGACAGGCAGATTGACTTACATCTACATTTGCCCTGATGGAGTTGGTGAAACTGAGTGGCACTAGATCCAAGGTCGTTTATGAAAGGGTATATGAGGATATGAGATTGGCATAATAAAACATCTTTTCTTTACATTAACTTACCTGTCTGTAATGAAGATTCGTCCATAACATTGTCATCTTCATCTGTTTCAGGGTATAGCAGTGGGGATGATGAATCACTGTGAGTGTCACTATTAAAGTTAGAAGATTCTGCATCTGAATCAGGACCTTCTTGTTCTTTCCTCAACTCCTCATATGGTGCACCAGAGTGGTCTAAAACAAAAATCATGACGAAATAATGTACTAGGCCTAACTTACTTTGTAACTTATGGCTAGTTAAAAGGATATTATGTTTGATTTTATATGCATGGCTCTCCTGTTTTAACTCTTTTATTCTGCTGTCGTGTGCAACAACACACGTCTTCAATGTTGCTAAAATCGCAAACGTGCACAACAAAACACTGTTTTAGGACTTACTGGCCTTATAGGTTTATCAAATGCCGCAAAACTCAAGATACTCCACTGTCTATATCCCAAAGAAAACATTTACAACTCTTTTTATACTCTATGAGCCATATAACCTAAACACTTATGATTTTTCCATTGGGCTGTGCGTTGTAGACTCGTCCTCAGTGCCGTTGTCTATCGTTTGTCGTCTTGTAAAATGGTGATTGTTATCGTTGTTGTTTACGATAGTTTTATCTGTGGTTTACTGTGTGAAGTTTTAGTAATCTAAAGAAAAATGAGTAAAAAGAATAGACATGATTAACCAGTTGTAGGTCGGCTGGACAGATAGCGACCTGCGCGAGGATTTATCACACATGTAAGAGGAGGTCACTTTCTAAGCGACCGACCTATACTGAAGGCACACTTGTGAGTAACCTTTTGCAGGAGGACAAAAACTTTGTCCATAAAGAGGTTCGAGTGATAGCTTTGTAGAGAAAAATTCTGAATCTGAAACAGAGTCTAGTTCAGAATCAGAAGACTCTGAACTAGTTCTAATTCTAACTGCAGTCAAACCACGCCTTGGAGGTTTAGGTCCAGGTTTCCATGATGATAGTGACAAAGATCTTGACTATGAATCAGAATCAAGTGATAATGATTCAGATTGTGAGAGGACTCTTAAGAGGAGACTCAGGCTGGTTCCAGCCAAAGTGCATGGAGAAATTCAAGATATTTCAAGGATGGAGTGATGTCAAGAGAATATTACAAGATTTGAAGGGGACATTGGATTAATCACTGACTTATTCTAAAAGTGAACCGATGCTCCATTGCTACAGTGCAAATGATTACTTTGCAAATGACAAGTCAAGAAAGTCACGCACAGGATATTTTTGTATGTTTGCTAATGGCATTGTAAGTTGGTAATGTATAGCAGCTTTGTATTACATTGCCAACCACAGACAAGCAGAGTTTGTAGCTGCGATTGAAGCTTCTGTATGGTTGAAATCTATGTTGGGCAAGATATAAGGTAAAGAAATCCAGGATGTTCTTTTTGTGGACAACGCTGGAGCTGTTCGAGGAATTCTGAGTTTCATTAGCGGTCAAAGCACATTCATGTGAGATAGCCTACCAGTATGTAGCAATTCCTTGCAGGTACATTTAATGTACGTCACATGTCTGGGAATGACCAACTGGGCGATTCCATCAAAAGTGAGCCTAGGAGGTTTTTAAAAATTATTATTTAAAACATATTTCATTATGATATTTTTATTTTGAAATATGTATATTTTGTGATGATAAAAGAGTTTTTTCTAAAAACACTTGCATTTATCATTTTTTACATGATTTTTTACGTATACCTCCTTGCTGACATTTAGGACTAATTTGTTTCAGTTTTAGTGAGTATAAAAATAGTTGAATAAAACAGCTGTCTGCCTCAACATCATGAGAATAGTGTCCTCAAACATATAGCTACTCAAGATACATGTCTCATTAAAGTGTAAGTATAATAATTAGTCTGTTATTAATATATATGCAAATTACTGCAGATTGTAACACCCGTAACACAAAACATGTAAAAAGTTTAATAACAGCAAGGGAAATATATTTTTTAGAGTACCCTTTTGTAAAAGTGAGGTTATGTTCATTCCTAACATCATTGTCCTAAAGTTGAAGCATTTTAAAAATTAATTTAATCTGAAATTAGGTGTTACGGGTGTTACTTACTTAGTGTTACGGGTGTTACAATTATCAATGAAACACCCGTAACATAAGATTATTAGATAAAACTTAGTTATAACCATATTTCGGTATTTGTTTATTTAACCATTGACTCATAAGGTTTCATATTCAATTTTTAGTTTAAATGAACAATTTTGTTCCACTAAACAAAGAAGCAAATTACTTAATAACTTAAATAGTTGTATCAAGTAAAGATTATGAACTTACTTGGCCATCCTGTAGTTAGAGGTTAATTGATAGGTTATAGGTTAACCTATTATCTTCAAGGAAGTAAAAGCTTAAAATAGCCTATGTCTGAACTTATTCTTTTATTAAACAAATTCATGATTTACACCTTTGGGATTTCATTTTGTAAGAGATTCATTTTTACCTCGCTATAAAGATCGTAATAAGCCTTGGGATTTGAATTTAGTCTACCTTGTTTGATTTTATTTGTGTCTAGGCTACTCTCATGCATATAGGCCTAAATTATATTTATTATATATATATTTATTTTATTCTATTTTGATTTGAAATATACTACAGTCTTGTTTCAAACATTTGATGGGACCGCTAAGGTTCTGGTTAACCTTGACTGTAAATATGAGTTATGAGACCTATCTTAACAATTACTTGAATTTTTTAGGTCATGGCTCCAGTCAAAGATCGTGTAAAAAAACATAGAGAAGAACTGAAAAAAGACCCAAAGAAGTGGGAAGAATATAAAAGGAAAGAAAGAGAACGTGACAGATTAAGAAGATTAAAAGTAAAGAATAAATTAGATGTGAGTCCTCGTCTTCAAAAAGAAGCTAGAAGAAAAATAAGAGACCGTGTTAAAGCTCAAAGAGAGAAGAAAAAACTTCTTAAAGTAGTGACTTCCGAAATTACGGAAAGTGAATCTCCAATTGGTTCTTACAAGTGTGTCCAGTCCTTTGGAAAGGCTGTTAACAAAATCAAGCAACGTCTCCCTATAGTCCCAATAAAAAAACTGCAGTATTGAAAAAAATTGTTGCAGATGTCCTTGGACCTAGTGTATTGACTAAAAGTCCCTCCCAAAAAGTTCATAAAAATTCAGTGACTGATGAACTTAAGCAGGGCCGTCGACAGGGGGGGGCAGGGGGGGCAAATGCATCGGGGCCCGGCATGTAGAGGGGCCCGGGCCCAAAGTGACTTTTAATTTTTTTAATAAAGGGCCGGGACCTTTTAAGATGATTTCAACTTGATTGGCTCAATTCTGTCCTCAGTTGTGGTTTTTAAACTACCGAGTTGAGGTTGGTACCAATTGACATAAAGAAGTTTGCTTTATTTTTGCTATACATATAATGAACGTATGAATTGTAAGTATTAGAGGTTTTGTTTTTATGAATTACAGCTTTCTTTTTCATTGTATAACGTTGCCACTCACCGAGCCTCAACTTTTAAAACACAACATTTCGTCTATAGACGTCATATTATCATTTCAAGCTTGGTTGCTATGCCTATGTTCTATGTTGCCACATTCTGCCAACTCGTTAAAAGATTTAACTAGTTAAACTTTAAAATTTTGAAGCCAAATCAGTCGACTAGTGCAAAACATGGCAACTATGTTACCCGTACGTTTCTATGTGTAAAATCTATGCAAAACGCATGTAGGTATATTTCAGGCCAGTTTTAGTAGGCCTATAATGGAAATTGTTTAAAATTTACTATAATATTAATTATTAATCTTTTAAATTTACACATTTTTAAACTTTTTGAAGCATTATAAGCTTCAAAGGTTTGTTTGCCTCTACTCATTGAATGTCTTGAATCCCTGTTTGAATGTTTATACAGTCTGCTTTGGTACCCCTTTTATGGACAGTCATGGAATATTCTGTATTTGAAGACAATGACTTTTGTTTGAGTAAATGTACACAAGATATTTCGTCACTAGAATAACAGAATGTCATTATACAGATCTAACGATCTAAAACCTTCAGTTGTTACCTGAATTGCATTAGGGATTTCATTTGTTACAGTGCATTTACTCAAACAAAAGTCATTGTCTTCAAACGATTTTTTTTTAATTTCAGGTCAAGTCCAAAGTTGTAAAAATGAGCTATCAACACAAGTCAGGAGCACAGAAGCGCAAAGAAAGACAAAAAAAGTTAGAACTATCTGCAAAAAAATCAAGAACTTTGTTTGATGTTGGACTAGAACTGAAAGGCAAGCCTTCCAATGAGACTACTACTGATGATATTAGTGTTATTAATATCAGTTGTGACACTTCAAGCCTATTAGAGACTCAGGCTGGCGAGGATGTAACGGGCATTGACGTTGCTGCACCCTCTCATGAAGACCTTACTTCACTAAAACCTGAAGATTTAGACACTCCAATTCCTAACGTAATTATAGAAGACTCTGAAGACAAAACTGTCGAAGTTGATGTTGGTGATTCTTCTGAACGTGTTGATTTAAGGGACAACGACCTGTCTACGCCTGTCCAAAACAATGAAACAATATATTCTTCTTCGGTGCTGGTAATATCTTCGGACCTTGGACAGTTTAATGATATCAACTGTCTTAGTTCAAAGACAATTGAGTCACTTGTTAAAATTGGACCAAATCCTTTTCCCAAGGAACTGCCACATGATGGGAAAAGAGCTTTTCCCCGAAGTGTACTTGTTTCTAAATTAGCAAATGGTGAAACTGTACCTCGAGATTGGCTTTCGTGGAGTGATACTACACAATCTATTCATTGTTTTCCTTGTAGACTGTTTGGGTGTTTGGATACCCCAGATTCAAAAAAATCTGTTTTACTAACCGGAGGTGGTTGGAAAAAAGAGTATTCCTGGAGAAAACTGTATAATAAACTACCAGATCATGAAACTTCTACGAACCATAAAAGATGTTACATTAAATGGAGGGAAATGGAACGAAGTCTTATAAATAACACTGATATTGCCTCAAGATTGGACGAGGAACTCAAAAAGAAAACAGAACATTGGAAAGAACTGTTACAAAGAATACTTTCTGTTGTTTTATTCCTAGCCGAAAGGGGGCTTCCATTTAGAGGAACATCCAGTAAAATTGGGGACACAAACAATGGAAATTTCTTAGGGATCTTGGAATTACTTTCAAAATATGATCCA